GTTCTGTGAGACACTTGGCAGATATGCGATAGAATCAGACAATGACGAAACAATTAGGCATAATGAGATATGGGAAAAGTAGAACACTTTTTCATATTTAAGAAGGAGTATACCTATTGTATCTCACAGAGATGTATTTGTCCGTTTCATGATACTGCAAGCCAGGAGGTTTCTGCATTTAGGACAGAAGAAAATATTAAAGCAAAGTCCATAAATTACAACATGAAGCCATGCTATCTCCTTTTTGTTTTCTTAAAATGCATTCAACAAAATTTTGGTTGAGTATCAAAATGCACAAAATGTTCCATATTGATGAGTTTCAGACATAGTGTTTTCTTTGATCAAAGCAATCAGTTTGTCATTTGGTAGAAAATCATCAAAGACCATGCTATAAAATATTTCTATATGGCATGAGGGGGGCTATTATTTCAAGTAGTCTAAACAGGAATTGTTCTTGTTGACAACACAATGGAATGAGACTAACCAAAGGTCAAGCAATGTTTCCACTTCAAAAGCCAACTTCAGGTGATTGTTAGGAAAACAAAAGGCACTTAATCACAATGAATGGTTCTTATCGCTTTCAAAGTGGCCAATACAACTGGACTAAATTGTTCAAAGCGTTTGTTCTTTGGATACATTTAGACAGCCAGTCCCATTACTTGGAATGGAATATTTGAATTTCTAAATACATGTATAAGAAACATGAACCATATATTTATCTGAACAGACAGAGCAAGCATTTTCATTGAATATTTCAGATACTTATATTACTTATAAATGAAACCACACACATATATGGATATTTAGAATCTTAAAAGGGAAAGTGTCCTTGCTGTTGTGTTAAGGTTCTAAGACAACTGGATAATTCTGCAAAGAGATGCACACATATTCCAGTTTTTTCTTCAAATTCAACCTACCTCAATTTTTGATTTAAAAGAAGTATTATTTTTGAATTATGTTCATTACATTGAACAATTCATTCATTTTTATTATAATAGTATACAGACATATGTTACCCTGGGCATAAGCGCCTAGTACACCTAGTATGATTAGGTAGATGACACTCTCTCTCTTATTGAAACAAAATCCAACTACTGGAAAGGAAAGCCATTTGTTTAATCCAACAAACATGTGACAACCTTCACATATATTATTGACTCAAATATCAGTCTTATCATTTTGTATCTAACTGCCAATTACTCTATGCAAAATATAGCCAACAATTACCAATCATTTTTGTAATAATTTCATACAAAGCAATACTGGTGCCAGTTATATCACTGTGGTGGTCACATAATGGACATTGTCAAGGTATGTATTATCTGAATATGTATCCCCCTAGACGCCTGCCTGCCTGCTACCCAGGGACCAATCCACTTTACTAACATAGGAACAATGCAACACAAACTAATAATTGACAATGCGAAAATGATTATAGATGACCACATTGCATGCTATGTGACTCAGATTCACAAAGACTGTTTCTAATGTTACACACTCTAAAATAGTCTTCTACTGGTAAATGGTTTGACCTCATCATTCCATTTACTACCACAAAATTTCAAATGAATACCCAGGCAACTGTTCAATACCTAAATTTATCAAAGGAATCACAGCAAAATGTTATTACACCATTTGGAAATGCTGAATATAGTCAATTTGGAGAGCCACTGTTCCATAGAGACATAATGTTGTGTCAGAGAGATAGAAGGCCATGTAAAAGAGAATGTTCCCAGTAGCTGGTAAATTACAGACTCCTAGCATGCTGTCAGGATCCTTTCTCACATGACAATGAAAACTATCAAGTTCTTCTATTACATTGAAACCCACGAGTTTGCACCGTTAATCTAAGAATAATACAAAAAGAAACTGCATACATAATCATAGTAGAATGTTACTTCCCATGAGACTATGACATAACAATTCTTTTAAAAATGACTGAGAATTTGTTATTAAAGTGATGATTGAATGCAGATACAGCAGATATGGGAGCCCATCCAAAGGGAAGATCACCCTGAGGCAGGATTACTCATCTCTCTGCTACCACCTGAGCACTAAGCAGTCTACCACATGATGTATCATATTCCTCAATCCCTTCCAACATCTCCACAGCTCTTCAATAAACAAATCTTGATGCAACACAATTTCATAATTTAACACAAAACTTTCACATAGACTTACAATAATTTTAAACTTTTTTAAAATCTCCATTTCTATTATAATATCTTTTTTCTCTTTTTAAGATTTCATATGCAATTTCATATTTTCCCACAGTCTTTACTTTAGTCTTTTTTTATCAAAATGACTGAATCATAAATTACTTTGGGTGATCAAAAGTCCAATAATACCTATTCAAATATTTTTTCTGAAAGATGTGGGAAAATACAAAGCTCTTCGGGATATGTTTTAATATCAGTCCTTTATGTTGGCTTGCTTTATACATTTATCTTTAGTGTATAGCTTCAATCTATAGCTAACATAACCACTTTGAGAGCACACAATACAGTATTACAAGCCACAGACCCCGATACTTCACTTTATGATGGTGTATTAAAATATGTTGGGGAGAGACATGCCTTATGCTGCTTAATACAAGCTGTGCCCACAATCTATACTCATAAATCACTAAAATAAACTCTCAATTTTACAGAAAACATATAGATTTATCATGCAGTGTGGATTGTGGATGAAAGATGGTTTTGTCAACTTACAATAGCTATAGAGAGCCATTGTCGAGACTTGGCAGCAAGAGAATAGAGTTTTTATATCCCTCTCTCTTGGTGCCCTAGTAATAAGGCACGGAATTTCAACCATATTCTTTAATTAATTCTGCAAAAACACATCAATTTTACAGTGTCTAAGACTTCCACAAGTTTTGCAAAAAATCAGAAACTTCCCATTTAAAGAAATGATAAGATCAATTTTTCTAATTAATAAATTAGAAGCACATTTGGATATGATAAAAAGGAATTAACATGAAAAAGGGAATTTCCTGAGGTTGGAGCAATCGCCCGACCACATTATTTGATGGCTGTCGCAGGATTATGCCAAAATAAGTAAGATTGATGCATGCTAAATCAACATGATGAGTTGCACTGAGGCTAGGTATATCTTCATTTGCAAACCAAAGTAATCCTGTCACTAATAAGATGGGAGATAATCTGATATAAGCCGGGCCCTCGGTGAGCTGCTCCACCAAGCGCTTTAATAGCATTAGCGCAATCCAGTGGCACAACAAGACATCCTGCATATAACTACTGGGAAGGAGCCATTTACCCTTTCTGATAAGTTGACATTAGACACCTAAAAGAGAGCTTCATATACATCTCATGTACTAAGCTACACTTAGGGTAGAAGCCATTGTGATTAATTTTATGAAGTTAGAGGTTAAATTCCACAAATAACAAATCAGATGAACACAAAGTTTGTATGAATGTGAATAAATGACATGAATCTTTCTGAACTAATTTACAAAAGTGTGATAAACATTATATAAACTGTTCCTGTCGAATAATATAATATTCATTATTTTCTCATTAATAAATTAGAACAGGAATTATTATATGAATAATTAATTAGGCTTTGATAAGTACTGGCAGAAATGTTAAACTTTCCAACTTCATCAAATATTATGCAAATTCCCCCATTGAACCCAATGGGAACTGCAGGAAATGCCAACCATATAGCAACAGTAAAGGTGATCATCACATCCTATTTTTGGCAGGAAGAGCTAAAATTGTGAAAACATGTTGCAAAGCCTGGTAGGTATCAGTTAGGAATGATAAAAAGCCCTCTAAATATTGCCAGGCGCAACTTTGGCATCATGTAGGAATCCCCTGCTGGCTCTATAAGCGCACATACACTGCCCCAATCCAGATTTTAGCCAAACTGAGTATACAGAATGTTACAACACATTTGAAAACAATCATAAAGTAATGCACTTTGACTGCAGGCCTGGAGTTGAGGCACTAATAGGTGTACATTGCTAAATGAAATGGCCAAGCTGCCAGTTGAGATGACAAAAGTTCACATTGAAGAGTGGAAATAATACCCATCGCAACTGTGACCTCACATCTGTGCGATGAGTGGATGACATTACAGTGCACATCAGTATACGCCACATAAATTCACCCTGCATTTCATTCATGCACAATTGCCCCAGTCAGTCTTGATGGCTCTACAATAGAATGAATAAGCCTTGTAATTATAGGAAACTGTGATGGCTTTTTATTTATGTTTTTCATGCAGAAAACTGGCAGGCTAACATTCAGCCTTTGTATCCTTTTGAGTGACTAAGCTGGACCAACAGAGGCTTGGCCCTTTCAACCAAGCCATTCAAGCTATCACACAGAGAGGAAAGCCAATTTGGGCCTGTCTATACTGAAAACAAAGTAATACCTGGGGCTTATACAGTAAAGTGAGTTGAAATCCGTATTGAGTTGTAGCCAGGCTGTCGAGTAGTTTCTAAACATACCCAAGATAAGCTGTAAGCCCGTACAATGGTACAGTAAATACTTGGCTAGATAAAAACCTTTACACACCACTTGTTCAAATGCTTGTCAAACTTCCCAGTCTTTTATGAGTTGGCATTCGCTCTGACATACCTTAGTGCTTACTTTATCACTCAAAGGCACAGACGTGATTAATTTTGAGACTTGTGTCAAAAACATCCAAGTTTTTATGACAACAAAATGCCAGGGAATTTGTTATATAAATACATTGATCCAAAACTAGAATTGAGTTTGTGTACATCACTTTCGAGTTTGTTCAAAGGCAAGCAATAAATAAAGTCCAAAGTAATTTATCTGGCACACCCTATCCTTTTCCTTTCAGTGCAGACAAATACTGCCATGAATTCTACATAATGACAGACATATTTGGTTTCCCAACACAACTGAGAAGTTCCCATCAGCTGTTCACAATTGAGAGGAAGTCAGATAAAAAAAATTGGGAGCCTGCTGTCAGTGTTGACCTCATAAAAATCTGCTCTCTAAACTTACCTATTTGCAGCACATTATCCACCGCATTTGCTTCCAACAGTTTAATCCCTTGCTGGAAAGGTATTTTCTCCTGTTCCCCATTATCCTTCGTGTTGGTGAAAGAAGAGTACATGCAAATATCCCGTTCATTTCTTGGGAAGGACCAGTAAATTATTCGACTTTGAACAGGTTCCGGAATTCGATCGCATTGTTCCTCCACACGTTGAAAGGGGACGTTTTCCGCCACCATTTTTGCACATATGTCTAGTAGAGACTCCGGATTATGTTTTTGACTATGTTTTACAGTATCTGATGAACTTTTTCCGCCCATTTCGGCCCTTGAAAGGCCGGAGCCCGAGCAGCACAACCTCTTTGCTCCAGACATCGAGAACTTCTGATTAATTACATTCCAATTGCGCAGGCGCCAAGACCTTTAAATATTCTGAGCATGCGCACTTCGCTAATTGGAATTTTATACAGATTTTGGCGTACGCGGATTTCCCATTGGGGATTCCCCTAATGTGAATGTAAGGTCAAATTGGCCCAGAATAATGGATAATTATTTCATTCACTCTATTTACAATCTGATTTACATGCTTTACGATAGTACTCAATGAACACAATCATTCACATATCTTCAAGCAGAAACGTCAATAAAGGAGTTTCAATGGGTTATTTTTCAAATACTCATTGACGTATTGATAAAAACAATACAAGTGCTGATTTATAGATAAGCTGACTGCATTTATCATAAATATCAGGAAAAAAGAAAGTAGTAGTTGGCAAAGGTCTTGCAGTTACAGATAAAACCAAGCTAATCCCTCCCATATTCATGTATTGATTTTGACATTGCATATCATCTCCCTCATCATGATTCCAGAATGTAAATCCTATTTCCAATGATTTCCTTACAGAGTGGTAACTACATATTTACACACGAAAGAAAATATTTAACAATGTCATTTGAAGATTGAATGAAATAAAAGGTACATGGCACAAGCCACTCCAATACAATTTATTCTAGGCCTACTCAATGTCGAATTGATCTGATGGATTTTTCCATTTTATAGCCAAGCAGTAAAAACTATGATATTTGCTTTTGTCAGTGCCAGATGAATAAATTGTTATTGTCAATATTTATGCAAAAATATTTTTTACATTGTCACCCCATCAATATTTGCAATTTTAGCACATCATTCATATTTAATAGAACAATCATAAATACAAATGTATTAAAGTGGCAATATGCTGTGTTTCCAGATTCATTTTTTCACTTTTTACATTTAAACCTTTAAGCAAATCTAATGCATTTAAATCTCCAAGTAATAAATGATGATTAGAAAGCTTATAGAAAAACCATATTAAAGTGACAAGATGCTACATTTTTCCAAATTAATTTTTACCTTTTTTACTTAAAAATCTTATTTATAAATGCATTTTTCAGTGAAATATTTGTTATTTGATAGTTCCTGTCTTGTGACGTATCAGAAAAACATATTAAAGTGGCAATATGCTTCATTTTCCAGATTAATTTTTCATTTTTTACATTCACACCTTATTTACAGCTGACCTTTTCAGTGAAAGATTTCTTATGTAATAGATGATGATTGGAACTGTCTTGTGATTTTTAAAGAAAACATTTTTTCTGGCTTTAAAACATGAGAATTTTAATCCCAGTCTTATATCATTGCACAAGAGGCAACTAAAAATGATGTAAGAAATTATTTGTTTAGGCATTTTTTCAACAGAAGTGTGAAAATGAAGTTGGGTGGTGGAAGTATCATATCCCTTAAAACTTAAATTAAAATTGCCTCGCCTCTTTGAATTAGCCTCACTTTTGTTTTAGACCCTTGCTACGCCTAGTAAAATTTGATATATTTGAGGTATATGAAGAAGGTTTGTAAAATATTGCGCTTTCAACAGCTGGCAGGAAAGACCTTTATGTCCCAGCTGACAAGGTAAATATATTGTGCTTTATGATATACTAGTACATGTATTACTCTTATATATATAGATGCCTGCAGATGCATTTCATCTGCCTGGCGCAGGAAAATTAATAAAATTAGATTTTGGACAAAATAAAAATTTATCATACAAATAATATACTGTAGCTCTTTTTTATGAATAAATTAAAACATCATCAAAGAATTTTTCAGATGCCCTAAGAAAATGTTAACTATTAATGAATATTCAAATAATACATTTAAATATGCCGAGTGTGTCTGAGCCAATCAGTTTAGAGCATTTCAGTGCATTAATTCAAAGTATATGGTAAACTGAGCAGAAACATTATTTTACAGTGCATTATGGTTTCATTAATGAACTGAACAGTGCCATTATTGGTTAAAGAGTGACATCATCACAGTGCAATGCATTATATTTTCCTAAAAATTGGACAATGTCATGTTTAAAAGACTCTGGTGCACTCTTATGCTTTTAAATTTCCAACAAGGGATGATACAGGATTCTTTATTCCTTAAGTATATGATAAACAGATCATCCTATTGTCATTTACCATATTAGTATTGTCCCTTGACCAATATATAATGTATATTAGCCTCAGGATAATAGTACAATAACGTCATTTCGAAGGGCAATATTGTGAAATATTGGACCGAAGGATATCTAGTTTCCCTGGGAAAATTGCCGGTCATTAAATGCATTCTTGACCGGCAATATGGACCACCACTATGACGTCAGATATTTCTCAGGTCGATATAGTAAAATGAATGCCTTCTAAACTAGCACTAAAACCCCTAGAACTGCTAGAACTGGCCCGGCAAGGTAGTAATAATCCCAATATCTTGAATCGCTTAATACACATTTAATTCTAATACTGAAATCAAGGTCATAGCAAATAAAGGTTGTGAGGAAGATGAAGCTTTTTGTTTAAAAAAAATGAACATTGTCACTTAAATAAAACATTAATTTTATTCTGAATTATTCAAAAAATAAACTCATAAACAAGTATTATATCATCATGCTCAAAGTCTCATGTTTCATACATAAGCTAAATAAATAACCTTAACATTCACACCATACCTTGGTGTGAATAATATAAATAAATCAAAATAAGATTCAATATACAAGGCATTAAGATAATGTTACAACCTGGTTGCAGTTACAAAAGTAACCATTTGTTACAAATGCTGACTTAAAAAATGGTTGTTACAATATGTCACAACTTGTTGGTTGTGACAGAACAATGAAATCTCAATCATTCAGATTTGGAGCGACAGCATGATGAGATTTATCATAGACTATGATCTACTATTGATGTAAAATGTGTAGGTTAAATGGTGAATACCTGAACTAAGGTTTGTTAAACTCAAACAGGATTTCAGTTGGACCACACAAAGAAACTGTTGATGAATAATTTTAAGTAAAGATACAAAAAATTAAGGGTTTTCTTAATGGTTTGACAAAATCTATTTTCCACGATTTACTGAGAAATACAGTAAAACAATACTTGCACAATTATATTTGAAATCTAATTAAAAAATGGAAAGGCTGCAAAATCAACTAAGGTTACAGTTACAAAATGACACGCTCGGGACTTGAATGAAAACAGTCTATTCTGTACAACTACAAGCAAAATGTTAAATGCAAATGTAAATGAAAGCCAGAATAAACAAATTGCACAGAAAATTCACGCAATTTGAATAAAACTATTTTTCATCTTTTTTATTTGCATAATATTGCAATTTTTGTTGTTGTCTTATTCATTGAACAGTATGATAAGCTAAATATATCATTGCATGTGCAACAGCCCCGATCAAAGCTGGGTATCTGCTGCGATGATTTCTATTGTTTGAGCTATAGTTCAAACATTTTAAATTGATGTAGGATTCAACCTAGCATAGTAGAAAAATACAAAATCAATGAGCTGCTTCAGAAAAATATGAATATTCAATGTAATATAAACTATCATTGTAATTGCAGGACTGTCTCTGTAAATTTTATTTAGGTAAATATTTCATTCTTTTTCATTTAGCATAACATAAAACACACTTTCTCATCACATGTCATCTAGAGTGGCAGTCTCGTCATGCAAGGAAATTAAAATAAAGTGCTTGTTTCTGATCCTAAAAATACACCAAAATTGAAAAAATAATTTCAGAAAAATCTTACATAAAATTCCTTACATAGTTGTTGGATAATTGCCTTTTATACATTATACAAGGTGCTTGCACCCTTTATAATTGCCAAATGAAATGGTGTGAGCATTTTTTCAATCCTTTGAATATTCAAGAAAAAATAGCCATTCAGCAATTTAATGATAATTGAAACAACTCAAAAAGGTATGGCATCAAATTGACTTCAATTTTGTTTATTGTAATAAGCCAGATGAATTGATAATTTGATTGATGCCCAAGCATGTGTCTGCAACCAAAGTGATGGATATAATATTCAATATACATACACACTCCATCTGTGACCCTCTGCCTCCAATCAATGATATATTCAATTGTCCTTTCAATCAGCTAAGGCCACCGGGGTACTACATGCCATGTGCACCAAGTACAATTAGCATCTTGCCAAGTATGAAGTATACATGTTGCCCAGCATGTGGACCAAGTTACAAGTCACATGCTGCCAAGTCCCATATTCAAAATTTTCGAAGTCTTAATGATAAACCTCGCATGTGCAGCATGTGGACCAAGTTAGCAAGTGACATGGTACCATGTTGCATGTTCAAATAGCATCTTGTCAAGTTTAAACTATACATCTCGCATGTGCAGCATGTGGACCAAGTTAGCAAGTGACATGCTGCCATGTTACATGTTCAAATAGCATCTTGCCAAGTTTAAACTATACATCTTGCATGTGCAGCATGTGGACCAAGTTAGCAAGTGACATGGTACCATGTTGCATGTTCAAATAGCATCTTGCCAAGTTTAAACTATATATCTCGCATGTGCTGCATGTGGACCAAGTTAGCAAGTGACATGCTGCCATGTTGCATGTTCAAATAGCATCTTGCCAAGTTTAAACTATACATCTCGCATGTGCAGCATGTGGACCAAGTTAGCAAGTGACATGCTACCATGTTGCATGTTCAAATAGCATCTTGCCAAGTTTAAACTATACATCTCGCATGTGCTGCATGTGGACCAAGTTAGCAAGTGACATGCTGCCATGTTGCATGTTCAAATAGCATCTTGCCAAGTTTAAACTGTACATCTCGCATGTGCAGCATGTGGACCAAGTTAGCAAGTGACATGCTACCATGTTGCATGTTGAAATAGCATATTGCCAAGTTTAAACTATACAACTCGCATGTGCAGCATGTGGACCAAGTTGCCAAGTGACATGGTACCATGTTGCATGTACAGAGAGCATCTTGCCAAGTTTAAACTATACATCTCGTCTCGCATGTGCAGCATGTGGACCAAGTTAGCAAGTGACATGCTACCATGTTGCATGTTGAAATAGCATCTTGCCAAGTTTAAACTATACAACTCGCATGTGCAGCATGTGGACCAAGTTGCCAAGTGACATGGTACCATGTTGCATGTACAAATAGCATCTTGCCAAGTTTAAACTATACAGCTCGCATGTGCAGCATGTGGACCAAGTTGCCAAGTGACATGGTACCATGTTGCATGTACAGATAGCATCTTGCCACGTTTAAACCATACGACTCACATGTGCAGCATGTGGACCAAGTTGCCAAGTGGCATGCTGCCATGTTGCATGTTCGAATAGCATCTTGCCAAGTTTCAACTATACATCTCTCATGTGCAGCATGTCACATGTGGATCAAGTTCCAAAATGACACGTTTGTTTATTTGGAATGGGAAATTAAATGATAAAATATATTTTTAAACTAAAAAGTTTGTTTAATGAACGGTAAAACGAATGAAATGAACACAAATTTGGAAAATGTAATTTAAAAAATGGTAAATTGGTATATAAGTTTGAGCTTTGTAGTAAGCATATGAAATCATCCTCTACAATATTCTTGGTTAGCTGACCACTAACTCCCGGGCACTGACTACATTTGTATTCTGCCACTCTCAGGCCAGTAGTCAGCTTTTACCAGGGAGGGAAGCAGGGGGGAGGGCTGTTTTTAAAGAATTCCATGAGGGATTTGACTTTTCCTTTGCATTATACCTTAGAATTCACACATGTAAAATGTTTCAATATGATAATAATAGATTACTAACTTTATGTTCTCATAAAACAAAAATATATTGCAGAGAATAATTTATTATGTAGAGATGATTTTATTATGGAATAATTGTGAAGTAATAAACTTGTTAATGTTACAAAGCTATGAACAGCATATTACTGTATCATATACAATTATTCTAACACAATTCTAAACACATGTGAACATTATAGTATCCTTGTATTAATGTTCCAATCTGAGTGTCAGTTAGTTCACTAAGTAGGCTCCCTGGTCAGAAACATCTTGAATTCTTGAATAAGTAGAAATAAGAATATAACTGTATTTATGTAGAATTGAAAATCTGTATATCTGTCAATATAGAACATTTACCATTGCCCATGAGTTTTCTGCTCTGTAGAAAGACCATAAATGCACATCTTTATGAATTTATATAATCAATAGCACTTTAAGTCCCCATATAAGGTCTAAATCACTTTGGCTTATACTGTAGTCTTACTCAGTGTTATATGGAAGAATGTGAAACTTATTTTAATTGCTAATTATGAATTTATATAAAACTAACTTTTATAACTAACTTTTAGAGATCACATATATATTCTAATAAGCGATAATTCACACCAATGCATAGCATTCATCCTCACATGATTTTGGTGAAAAATTAAGAAAATTGGTTCAAGAATAGGCGAGAAATGAACTCGTCAATGCTTTAAAATGGTTCAGAGAAAAATGTATTTCAAAATTTCTTCTTTCCTCCCGTATTTTTGACTGAAATCTCCCTTAATCTACCGTGTTTGAGCTAAATCTACAGTCAGTAACCTTGATTATTGGACTTCTTTCTTTTACTTTCAGTTTTACAGCAGGGAAATGTATATTTTCTGTAAAAACTGAGCGAGCAAAGGAACCCTCATAATACTTGTTCAGGGCCAACTTACATCATGGGCTTTTAATAATCAGCCTGATTACTCATTAATTTTTGTCATATTCTTTTGTTTTCCCATTTCATTTGACTAAATGAACTTTCATTTAACTTTTATTCACCATAACCTCGTTCAAAACCAATTTCAGGTTGGCAGGTCTGACGTTAGTTGCAAAATATTTTTGATATGCTAAACCATTGAAGTGGCGCATCATTAAAAAAAATTCAACTTTTATTTGAAAAATGGCGGGAAATTTGATAACGAGAAATGAAAAAATTCAAAAAATGAATTTAACCCTTACCCCAAAAAATGAATTTAACCCTAAGACCATGAATATGTGTGTCAAAAATGTAAAATAAATTAAAAAATGAATTCCATAAATAAATAAATTTTTCTATGTCAAAATATAAAAAAAAAGAATTTAATTCTAACCTTAACCCTAACCCTAACCATCCCCAACCCTATTAAACCAGATGGAGTTTTAAATGATTACCTAACCCTGACCTACCCACTGAGGACACAGGACGCGTACCAGACCCTAATGATACAGGGTCTACTTGGCAGGAGCAGCGATCGCTATCAGTAGGGTCTGGCACATGAACACCGCTCCTGCAAAGAGAAATGAGTTAACCGTAGCCTTAACCCTAACCCTAATTACCAACCCCAACCCTATCAAACCAGATGGAGTTTTAAATGATTACCTAACCCTGACCTACCCACTGAGGACACAGGACGCGTACTAGACCCTAATGATACAGGGTCCAATTGGCAGGAGCGGTAATCGCATACCAGACCCTAATGATACAGAGTCCACTTGGCAGGAGCAGCGTTCGCATACCAGACCCTAATGATACAAGATCCACTTGGCAGGAGCGGCAATTGTGTACCAGACCCTATTAATGATACAGGGTCCACTTGGCAGGAGCGGCGTTTGCATACCAGACCCTAATGATACAGGATCTACTTAGCAGGAGCAGCGATCCCTAACCAACCCTATTAAACCAGATGGGGTTTTAAATGATTACCTAACCCTGAACTACCCACTGAGGACACAGGACACGTACCAGACCCTAATGATACAGGAACCACTTTGCAGGAGCGGCGATCGTGTCCCAGACCCTAATGATAGAGGGTCCACTTGGCAGGAGCGGCATTCGTGTACCAGACCCTAATGATACAGGGTCCACTTGGCAGGAGCGGCGATCGTGTACCAGACCCTAATGATAGAGGGTCCACTTGGCAGGAGCGGCATTCGTGTACCAGACCCTAATGATACAAGGTTCACTTTGCAGGAGCAGCGATCGCTATCAGTAGGGTCTGGCACATGAACACCGCTCCTGCAAAGTGAAATGAGTTTAAACCGTAACCTCAACCCACCCTAACCAACCCTATTAAACCAGATGGGGTTTTAAATGATTACCTAACCCTGACCTACCCACTGAGGACACAGGACACGTACCAGACCCTAATGATACAGGGTCCACTTGGCAGGAGCAGCGTTCGCATACCAGACCCTAATGATACAAGATCCACTTGGCAGGAGCGGCAATTGTGTACCAGACCCTAATGATACAGGGTCCACTTGGCAGGAGCGGCGTTTGCATACCAGACCCTAATGATACAGGATCTACTTAGCAGGAGCAGCTATCCCTAACCAACCCTATTAAACCAGATGGGGTTTTAAATGATTACCTAACCCTGAACTACCCACTGAGGACACAGGACGCGTATCAGACCCTAATGATACAGGGTCCACTTGGCAGGAGCGGCGATCATGTACCAGACCCTAATGATAGAGGGTCCACTTGGCAGGAGCGGCATTCGTGTACCAGACCCTAATGATACAAGGTTCACTTTGCAGGAGCAGCGATCGCTATCAATAGGGTCTGGCACATGAACGCCGCTCCTGCAAAGTGAAATGAGTTTAAACCGTAACCTCAACCCACCCTAACCAACCCTATTAAACCAGATGGGGTTTTAAATGATTACCTAACCCTGACCTACCCACTGAGGACACAGGACACGTACCAGACCCTAATGATACAGGAACCACTTTGCAGGAGCGGCGATCGTGTCCCAGACCCTAATGATAGAGGGTCCACTTGGCAGGAGCGGCATTCGTGTACCAGACCCTAATGATACGAGGTCAACTTGGCAGGAGCTGCGATTGCGTACCAGACCCTAATGATACAGGGTCAACTTGGCAGGAGCGGTGATCACATACCAAACCCTAATGATAAAGTGTCCACTTGGCAGGAGCAGCGTTCACGGTTCACGTACATCTTTTATTGACTCAGATGTCATCACAATGACATATTAGTCAGTACAATGTACAATATACAAAAATAACTTAGACTAAACTAACTACAAAATACAAAATGTAAACAACATGACAAATGCAAAAATATAAGTTATGAGTCAAGTTTTAAATACAGCATAAGAAAATGTAAAATATCAGTGTGATGTATCATTGACACAATGTTCATCCAACACATATACAATGTATGAATTAAAGATCATTGCCAGGATCAATAAATGACTATGTCTGTTGAACTTGGCAACATGCACACATGGCACCACCAACATTTCTGGTACATGGTACAGATGCTAATACAAGATGGCAAGTGGAACCATGTTGAGCATTAATAGACATTATTATAACATGGACATCCAACATGCCATGCTACAGCCAATAGCCATATTTATCACATGACAACATGCTGTACTTGGTAAGTTGTGAACTTGGGATCACTTGAATCAAGGTACTTGGCACACATGCAAATATAAGATGGCAAGTATGCCAATGCAACATGAATAAATCAACATGCACATCCAACATGCGAACATGGCAGTACTCACAAATTCTGATACATGTACACATGCTAAAACAAGATGCCATGTCCAACCAAAATAGTACATGTTCCAATCTAGAATAAATCTTGAATTATCACTTGCACATTCAACATGCCATGTTGAGCCAGTTGCTCTGTCTTTCACATGCTAGACCAGTAGCATCTTGTCAGAAAGGTACTTGCTAAAATATTGCCATGTTACAAACAAGT